GTTGAAGTTTTGCAAGTATGAACACGCCTAAGGAAGCTACTTTCCATTGTCTAATATGATATAAATTGATTTGAAATCCCTGAAAAAATCTACAAAAATTTAAAAGATTTGCTGAAAAAAAAAGCAATTATAATTTTTTTGCTTGATGTAGTGGTTTTTTTTCAGCTAATGTTTTTAATTTTTCACAGATTCTTTCAGAGAATTCAAATCAATTTATATCATATTAGACAATGGAAGTCGGAACTAATGAAATGCACCACGAAACATTGTCAACCACCTTCAAACAAATTTGATTTTTGCCAATAGATGAGTTATATTGTCATTTTTACATTTATAAATACATTTCATTAATTGTAATCTATTTTTTATAAGTATATTCTTTGTTCACATCTTTTTTTTATGAAAAATCTGATGAATTTTCATCGTTCAATAATGAATTTACCATGATGTTGTATCGAAACCAGGAAAACAATGCAGAAAAGGAACCATAATTTTGAACGATATACAGTGTCTCACATAAAGTCCGCATCAAATGGGATTTTTTTTGTTCATCTCTACAAGCAACTTTTGATATCTCCATTAGGTTGTGCTTTAAAAATGATGCCAAATGACATGCATATGACCGATCAAGTGATTTTTCTTCCCTGTCCAATTTGACATTTTTTCCAAAAGCAGATATTGCTCGAAATTTCGAAAATCGGTATTTTTTCATATTTCACGCAAATGTTCCTCAATTTGGGTTATTACAGCAAATGCAACTCTGAACAAAATAAAGTTGAGTTTAATTCATGAGTTTTTCAAATTCACTTCGAAAAGTATTCAAATTGATGTTTCAAATGTTGGGTTTTAATTTTTCAAGGGATTTTTTTCTAATTCACATATTGGCGACAGCGCGTATATCAAGTTGAAATAATATATACGTACCTAGATATTCAACTTTAAAAAAGGAAAATTATTTTTATAAATCAACAATTAATGCAAAATATAAGTTATACTTTAATGCCACCTCCACAAGCCACATAAAAACAGTTGTTTTGTTATTTATTTATATAGAGGAAGATAGGTTAGGTATAAAAAATGTTTTATGTCACAGAATGTCTCGGAACATAAGTAAACAGAACAGCGCGCCTCTGAAGTATGTCATCTTTGTCTCATACAGGTAACAGATTCATTGTCCTTTATTAGCTATAACCGATGTTGCCAAATGGTGAAATAGAAACGAATCCCATTAAATGTTGAATGCATAATTTCATTTCTCTTTTTTAAGTATTTAAAATTTTTTTTAAAGAAGAAGGTTGAAATGATAAGTTCAAAATGCGTTGTTTTAGAGCTCTTTTATGAAAACTGCTTGATTTTCGTCAGAAGGAACATTCCCCATTCCATATAGTAAAACATTAAGAACGCTACATGCAAGATTATGTGAAACTGGGGGTTTTTATAAAAGTGATATATAAATATTAATAATGATTTTTTTTAAATATTTGATTTTCGGACAAAGCAAATTTTTCACGAGATGCTATTATGAACTTTATATCAATGACCATTTTGGACCGACTAAAATCCCCACGTTATTAGAGAAACTCATTAACAGTAACAATTTTCGCCCATTGGCCCATTTTTTCTACCAAGATTAACAGGTGAATCCTACACGGACTTTTTGCGAGATCATTTACCCATTTTGTTGGAAGAAGTGCCGGTACTTGTAAGAGGCAACATGTGATTTATGCACGACATCACCTACTCTAATCGTTGGATTGGACGTGCAGGACCTCAAAATTGGCCAGTTCGCAGTTCTGATATGAATCCTCTAGATTTTTTTATGGGTTCATCTTATAGAACTTCTGTACTAGATGTGAATGACTTGGGGTATCGAATAATTGACAATTGCAATGTCATAAGGAATACTCCAGGTATTTTTGAATGTGTCAGACAATCAATGACAAATAAATTGCAGTCGTGTATTTCTTCAGAAGATGGACATTTTGCTGACTTACTTCAAGGTCGAAATTGTTCATCATTGACTTTTGGTTTTTATTTTATGTTGTCCATGGATAGATTTTAGAAGTGTTTTTTTTCTCGGAAACGAAGTTTGATATGAAGAAAATACAAGCGACGAAATAGTTGTTTTCAGTTGCTCAACCAAAAAAACTACAAAAAAGTCAGTGGCGTTCCTTTTTTTCCTCAATATTGTTGGTTGTGGTGCCCACTGAGACGCCACTGGACATAATGATTCCATTCTACTTTGCGCTAAATGAGCGCCTTATTACTTGAAATAACTGTAGCAAATTTCAACCAAATCAGTCAGGATATTCATGATATTTTATGAATACCGTTTTTTTTTAAAATTCAACGCCCTGTATATCAGAAACGAAGCAACTCCGGACATAGGTATGTTCGAAGGAACTTTTTTGTTAAAACGACCTAACAAATCACCCTCTAAAGTTTCGTACCATAGTAGGGAAACAACACCTTGTGTATAGTACACCCTGTATAGGTCTGCATTCAAATAATAATAGGAAATCATCGCGGCTCCAGATGCTTTATCACTATTTTTCATATATTTCATATATGAGAAAACCTATTTATTCTTTCATTTAAGATAATGCACAAGAAAATGAAATCATCTTAGTTTTTGTGGGAAGAGAGAACATCGATTTACAAGGATACGGAAGCTCCAAAAGTTGAGTTTTCATTATATTTTATTCTTTATATGAAATATCCATCAAAACTTAGAATTTCTTCATAGGATGTATCTCAAAATTCATCCTGATGCTGGTTCCAAGAGTAGAGGAAAGGTTACTCAGACAAAGAAGAAAGTTTTGAATTATATGGTAAAATTTAATAATTATTCATTCCAAGACAAGTGAGTATCTAGAAACTACGTCTACTGAAAAGCAACAGTAGAATCGCATAACCTTTTGTTGACAATCTTGAAAATTTATTTTTATAGTTAAACCCATTCACTAGTATGTTAGTTACAATTTTTAGAGCCGAATTCTTATTAGATGTGTCAACAAATTAAAAAACTGGTTCTTTCCTCGAATACATTTTCAGTTTTCCTGCATATTAGTATTTAATCTTTGGAACATTATTGTGTGAGTTTTTATTGTTCCTCATATTATTTAGTTTATTAAATATTAATTTTTGTTCGTTTATTTGAAAAATTTATTTTATGTTAATTCTCTGTTGTGAAAACTATTTTTGTAATAGTTTTGGATTTTATTAGGTAATAACCACGAAATACCTTGAAGCTTTTCAACAAAAATGTAATAATACCTTGTAATTTCACACTCTGATATTACAATGTATTTTTACATATGCCTACCCTATACATATATAATGGAAATCTACAGAGGAATTCGCGATTTCGCATGGTAAAGATACAGTTCCTATATTGTATTAATACTCAAATTGAGAAAATACTCAATTTCGAGTAATGTACAATTATATGAAGGGAACCGGAAAATTACAGATATATTCTTACTGAAAATGTCCACAATATATCATTTATAATAACCTTATTTGTGCTGTAATTTTGAATTACAAATCTTTTTACTGTGAAATTTTAGTAAATAAATTGTGACTTTCACACTTTCTGTACTGCAAAAAAAATTACGTATCGTTATATGATACACAATGATTGTGGTAATAAGTTTCCAACGATAAATAGTCCAAGTTTTGTTCAACAGATTTTTTGTAGACGAAATAGCAATAGCGGGATGATCAGCTGAAAAAACAGGCTGTAGGTATACCTACCTACCTATATCTATATAGCGTGAATATTATACGTCTTCAGCTAAGAAACGGACAAGAACTGTTTTGAATACCTATCACTATCTATAATAATTGTTAAATTCCCAACATCAGGATGATTTTCAATTCCTCCGAACTCAAAGATGATTCTTGAAAAGAATAACTATATTGATGATGCCAATTATTGAAGGGTTCGAGTATTGACAAAAATTGTGCCTATACCTACATGAAGTGGAACACTTATTCAGAAATGAAAATTCAAGATGTATAAGTAGATACTTATATTATAAAATTGAAGTGAAACTCCAAACGGTCACATTCAGAAAAAATCACATCAACCAAAATGCTTTAAAATTTGTTTCTCCCCCGGAGGAGAAATCTGAATCTGAAATTGAGTAACACCCTAGGTGAATGCTGTATTCAAATATCAGGGTAGGTATCAAAATAGTTGAAGTGATTATGCAAGTGTCAACATCGACCTACTTCATTTTGTGCTTGGTGGTAAATATATTAATGATATCGGAATCGCCAGTATAATTGCCAAGTCGCGGTAATACTACTCATCAACTATTCAATAAACGTAGTGATGTCAAGAAAATTGTCAATTAATACCCAGATTGATAGAAGACCATTATCGGAAACCGCTTATTAATCAATACTACTTATGTATCATATTGAATTATCACGTTTACATTCGTTAGCTCCGCCTCATATCGGCAAAAACTAACAGCCTTACATCTCAATCTGCGTATTTTACCCTCTCCACCGTTACCAGGCCAACCAGCAGGATAGATACGGCCCCGCCCATTTACCATTGGCAGTCGCATCGCTTTGAGTGAGATGTTTCATAGAGTGAAAGCTCGGTCCAAACACGGCGAGTTGAAAAAGGACGGAGAGAGTCCAAAATCAATAATGCTCATGGGAAATTTTGTAAAATTGAAAGATAGAATTGAATTTGCATATTAGGAATAGAAACGCTGAGAGGATTGTTTTGTTTCTCGAAATCAATGAGTGATGTTGTGGATATTGAAATTGTAGTAGTATAACTTTGTATATTTAATGGAGGAATGCGTAATCGAGGGGCAGAGGTCGTACGATGAGAACAAGGAGGGATAGACGGCTAGGTACGAGCCAGACAAAGAGGGCGATAGCGACCGAGATGAAGCGCATGCTTTCGTAGGCGTGGCCAGGGTTATGCCACCGTGATAAAGATGACTATTTTGAAATCTCACTCAGTTTGACAGCGCCGTTTTAGTAGTGAGTACTAGATTTCTGTGAGAGTTCTGAGAAGTGTGTGTGCGGTGCTCGAACTGACTGGCTGACGTCTTGATGAATTACAACTTTATCTCGATGGCTCTGGAAGATCGGTCGAGCCCCAGTGCTGCGGCGAGCACAGACAGAAACATGAACTCGCCGAACTCCCCTGAATCCACCAGGACCTCTTCGTACACTTGCACGACTATACATCACGAGGACAACTCCAGGAGTTTCGTGTCTTCGCCTTCCACTTCACCGACGCACTACGTCCTTCCTAAGGTGGAGCAGGAAAGGTCTTTCTTCAGAATAACTTCTTTCGCCTTACCTAGCCCTAAAAGCGAATGCGAAAGGCAGAGTCCTGCGAGTTTTCGGTCTGCCTCTCCATCCGACAGCGTTTCTTCTAGATCCTCCGACAGAAACGAGCCCACGATTCAAACTCTCAAGTATTCGATAAACAATATACTGAAGCCCGATTTTGGCAGGACTGCAGTTCAGAGGACTAGGACAGTGCCGAAAATCAGCTTCAAACCTTACGAAAAATGCGAAAAGATCAAAGACTTGAAGCCTCTGTCGATGGCCCCCCTCGGGAGTCTCTGTCAGGCCGTTTCGCAGATCGGGAGCACGGTAAAAAGGATACCGGAGCCGATTCCGAGGTCGCAGAGTCCGGTGAAGAAGTTGCCCAGCGTGGAAGAGGTGAAGAAGGATGAAGATGGGGGCGTTCCACAACTTTGGCCAGCTTGGGTTTATTGCACTCGATACTCTGATAGACCAAGTTCAGGTAAAGTACCAAAATTTTCTTTCATGGACTCATGGTTTTTTGACGCGAGAAATCATAATTTCGGACTGATTTTCATGTAAAATCTAGAGGGCGCTGCGTACGCTGAAATTTTTCAAAACATGGTTGGTTTTTGTCATGACTTTGCGAATGACTTTTTTGCGAAAGTTATTTTCAAAAAACGAACAAAAAATCAATTTCACGACCCTGTATCTCCGAAACGAAGCATTTCCGGACACAGACTTTTTTCTTAAAATTGTCTCAGGAATACGTCACCTGAATATTTTAACGTACTTTTGTTACACCCTGTATAGTTGAATAAACTAAGCAACTAGCAAAACAAATCATCATAATTTTCCTTAAGGAATTATGCTTTTGTTGATTGAATTTTTTCTCGAAGTTGGAGGTTTAGGACTTGAAAACCTTGGTAATTTTCGAAATTAAATCATGATTTTTTTTTTGTTTCTGGAACTATTCTTAGAGGCTTCAGAAAATACCCTCAAAAAAATTGAAAAATGGTAATTTTCCATTTTTTAATCAAAGATAAAAAAAGAAACCTACCTACTTACCCACTTGAGCACTAAACCTGTTTTCATGTTCTGACTGTTTTGTTTTCTCATTGACAAAAGTTATCAGAGTATTCACTCGTATGTATATATATTTTCAATTTTTCATTGTTTAAAGAATTGTCACATTATTTTCAATGTATCAATAATTGAATTATTGGAAATTTACAGATTTCATTTTAATTTTTCATATTCATTCATTTTCGATACCACTGTATTCATAAAATATAAGATTTTTACGTGTGCCTGTATTCACAAATCAAAAACATAAAAATTGGCGTAGAATACCGTACATTCACATGTGAATTTCCAATTCACATATCAAATATGTCATGGAATAATGTCTGGAGATATAGCAGGCCAAATATAACCGATCAATCTCTCGACATTTTTCAACACCTCTGTAATATTATATGAAGAAAAGCATTGTTGTGCATGAAAATATATTGCCCATTTATATTCTTGATCTCATCTAAAAGCCTATAGGTATGACAATATCTGAACGTATAAAACTATATTAGTCCATCAGTACGTCTGTAGACGATAATTTCCCAAAATATGTAGGTATTTCTATATTATATACACCTACTTGACCAATCTACAGTGATATGTTTCTGTTCGGAACTGTGATCAGAGCTGAAACTTTCATTAGTTGTCCCTCAAGGTCTCCTTTTGGCCTATACTTCAATTTCACTTTACGTGAGTAAATTTTTGGAATATTTGTAGTGAAAATTGCCAATTGTTTTCTAATATTGAATTCTCTGTCAACGATGAGAAAACAGGTTATTGAATTTTATATTTATCAAAACTTCCATTTCATTAGTTTTGAGAACTGTTGACTAATCATGTATTATCTAAAAATAATAAACTTCAAGATATATTTAGATGAAAATTAAAACATCATGAAGAATGTTGGTGAAAACTGGATCACTGTCTAATAGTAATTAATCCTTAAGGTATTTATTGAGCACAAATGAAATTTCTGTTGTGAAAATGTTTTTCTGACACCCAGTAGGGTCCGTGTTTTTCATTATAATAGAAAAATTTGTTCAGAAAGAGATGAAACTCACAATAAGCATTTAATTTTATATCAAATCTTGTATAGACCCAAAGAACTCAAAATAATTCATTTCTAAAAAACAGAGATAGGTATATTAGGGTTAAACGACTGATTTATAGATAGATGGATAGGAATTTGTTTAACAACATTATGTAGGTACAAAAACATATACTTGCAACACGCCAAAATAGATGCAAGATAAACAATAATATACTCAAAAAAGGTGGGATTTATTAAAAATTAGGCGATATACATATGTGCAAAAATCATATAAGATCTTTTGGACGCCTCCTATATATGTGTTGTTTGGAGATTTTGTATGAAACATATTTTGTGAGTATGAGTAAATTTCAAAGGTAAATTTCTATATGGAAGTGAAGTTCAAAAATGATAAATATAATAATAACATGTTCAATTTGTGACTCCCAAGTTGGCGTTTATGGGTATATTAGGAACCTACATGTATGCGTGGCAACTATGCAGATTTTATCTTTTTGAATGAACACTTGTAAAAAGAAGTTGATGAGTTTTTTTATATCTTTCCATTGTTATGGACTGTCTGTTTTTCATCATAAACTCATTTTGTTAATTTATATTTTATTGCAACTTAATTCAAATGCCTCAATTATACAGTAGTTGACTTTAACGGTGAACATTTAATTCACATCTCGATGTGAATATAATGATTAGCTAGACATGCTATTTTAATTCTCTGGCATGCATGATTTCAGTAAATTAATATATACAAGTTTCATAATCACACACACATACACAACGATTTTACATCTAATACTGGCTGAGATGAAATGCAAAACAGTTTATCATTAAATCACCACTATTAGCAATTCACATGGGAGTCAGCTAATGTCTTCTCACCTGATGATTATGCAAAAAAATGTGGCGATAAATTCAAAACTAGTTGTGAGAAATTAGTTGTTTTGCCTCTTTCTAGTTATTTAAGAAAAATAAGTAGGATTAGTTTCTCTAGAGCGTTTTTGGCACGTAAAAATCTTTCTCTTGATAGAAACAGTTCTTAAGAAAAAAATTCAATAGGGTTCGTATCAGGAAATCTAGCCAACTATTATTAGAATCCTTCAAGATGCATCTGTCATGCGTAAGTAGGTTTATATATTACACAGAGTTCACCAAGGAATATAAAATAATCAAAACATTTTATAAACCCTGGCTGATATGAATATCCCATCTTTTTATGGAGATGAGGTGAATTTTTTTATTTCTGATTGAATAATTTTATATGATATTAACATTTTTCCGTTCGAATATTGTGATTAATATGGATGCTATTGAAACTTTTCATTCATAAATTGTTTGGTAGTGGTCATATCTATGAAATAATGACGAGGATATCCATCATTTCTGAAAAAGTGTATTATAAATGATGAATTAGTTTTTGATGCAAGTAATTTTTATTGAAGTATATTATATCAAATTCAGTGAATTTTAAAATTGGGATTGCAAGATGAATTCGCAATTCATAATGTCTAAATCAGGAAAAATGTTTCATACATTTTCTCTTCTTGCTTCTTTGTCGTTTTCTAAATAATCCTTAAAACAAATGCACATTTTGATTAATACAAAAATTCCAAAAATGTATAGACTTTTAGATTTATAAACAATTGCACGTGAAAAGCATACAGAATTCCATGACAGCACGAAATGTCATCGCAATAGACCTTTTCTTTCAGGTATTTCTTTTACTGATATTTCCATGTCTTCGTCTATCTGGTCATTCATTACAAAATTGTTATTTATGGAAATATTTTTTATATTAATCTCATTATGACATATGTAGATCGTTCCACTAATGTATATGACCCTGTATATTCCATTCAGTATTGAACGTGTTTGATTTATTTTCCAAGATATGTGTGTTCAACTGACAAATGTATTAAAATTCTTAAAACGGTCAACCTTCTATATATTGGTGAAGGTGTTGGTGTTATACTTTCATTTTATTAAATAATGCTATTAGATACTTTTGATAATATATATTATCAATGTTCAATGAAAAGCTCACAATAAACTGTTATTTCAGTGAATTAAAATATTTCTCGAGTGAAATTACATATTTGGATCCCAAATCTAGAGGGAAGAAACAAATTTAAATTTTATAGGGAATTGAAACCCACAGTAATACACCGGAAAATAATAAAACTCAGTAATACCTAGTTAATACTCCTTCTTTCAGTTGGATGTTTTAAAACTCCTATAATTGCATCTCAATATTAACAAAAATATGTCAGATGAGACTGGAGAGAGGATTCGAATATATTTCTGCATTTTATATTGATGAAATAATTTGCAGTTTTGTGCAGTTTGATATGCTCAAATTTGGCACAATTGACGTTTTTTGCGATATTGTGTCTTATTTGTATTGTTATATCCTTGCCAATTCAATTATTTTAGATTTCAATTTACATTTATACTGTTTGTTCTGTATAAGATGACCGACAAGTTCTGATTGTTATGAAAGAACTAGCTTCTTAAACTCACGATAGTACGTAATCTCATCCAGTCTATGGAATTGTAACTGTGTTGTTGATTTGTTTACAATTTTTTAGTAAGTCCTGAAGAAGGAAATAGACATTTCCGAAAGCTTGACGTAACATACCAAAGAGTTTTTCTTACTCCCTGGCATACTCAAAATTATGATATTTATATGCCAAAAAATATTAAAACTGAAAAGAATTTGAATACTAAATTGAAAGATAAAATGGATACTACAAAAAAGTCAAATGTGATTTATAACATTCCTTGTAACAATTGTAACTTGAATTATATTGAAACAACATCTAGAATTCTTAATGATTGAGTAACTTCACATAAAAGTGATATAAAGCTTAATAAGAAATCATGTGCATTAGCACAACACTCTATAGAAACAGGACAAAAACCAAATTACTCTAATATCAAAGTTTTACATACAGAAAAAAATATTTCCAAACGCCTTTTTCTTGAAATGGTTGAAATTAATAAGCCTTCTGATTGTATGAATAAGAGAACTGGCATTGATAATCTCAGCAGTATATACAGTAACTTACTGGAAATACATCAAAAACATAATAATAATGAAAATTGTATCAATCAATAACTCTCTTTCTTTAGAGTCAAAAATTATGAAATCATCATACCCATTGTAAAATGACATTTATGTGAAGGTATGGCATTTGTCAAACCCACAAAAAATCCTATACATGTATAACTTTTTCGTCAATTTATATGTTCAATTTATTGTTTTTCGCTCATTTTTACTGTAAGTATGATTTGTAATGTTATTCAATGGCGAAAATATTCACAACTCATTAAATTATAGGCCCTGAAGAAGCTTCCCATTGGAAGCGAAAGCTTGGCAAAGTAAAGCAGAGTTTGATTTTTTGATTGAGAGACCCT